AAGAGATTGTCCCCTTCCCTTTGACACCCACACTGACATGCTGGAAACCCCTGCCCCTCGCCCCAGCCCCCTCTCCTTGGCAGATAACAGCAAACTGGTGCGAGCGTATATGTGCTGGAGGGTAGGAAGGCCTTGCAGAGGGATCTGGACAGGCTCGATGGATGGGCCGATGTCAGTTGTGTGAGGTTTAACAAGGCCAAGTGCCCTGGGGGAAGAGTGGGCAGGAAGCTGCCTGGCAGAGAAGGATCTGGGGGCTGAGCCTGAGCCAGCAGTGTGCCCTGGTGGCCAGACAGCATCGTGGCCTGTATCAAGAATAGTGTGGCTAGCAGGAGTAGGGAAGACATCGTTCCTCTGTACTTGACACTGGTGAGACCACAGCTTGAGTGCTGTGTTCGGTTTTGGGCACCGCAGTGTAAGAAGGATGTTGAAGTGTTGAATCGGGTCCAGAAGAGGGCAACAAAGCCTGTGAAGGGTCTGGCAATATGGGTGTCGGTCTCTTCTGCCAATTAACAAGTAATAGGATAAGAGGAAATGGGCTCAGGTTGCACCAGTGGAGGTCTGCCTTGGATATTAGGAAAAAATTCTTTACTGAAAGAGTAGCGAAGCATTGGAACAGGCTGGACAGGGCAATGATGGAGTCACCATCCCTGGAGGTGTTCAGAAAACATGTCGATATGGCACTTCAGAACACTGTTTAATGGTCATAGTAGTGTTGGTGTTGGGTTAACAGTTGGACACGATCTTAGAGGTCTTTTCCAACCTTAATGATTCCATGATTCTTCATCTGCACTGCACCTGCCCTGGCTCCCCAACCCCTGCTGCGAATAGCAGTGTTTTGCATAGGTGAGGTAGTCAGGCTTTTAGGCCTCTGAAGGTGTGTGGTCTCATCTAAAGAGACTGTCTTCAGGGTTCCTATCAGAACTGTGTTTCAGTTAGACAAGTGTTCGGTGTTTGTCATTCTTTTATTGAAAATCTACAGGGGTCAGCAGGCTGAAGGGAATTCAAAACTGTTACTCTAGGAATAGCATAAGGGTTGCACAGAGGCAGCTGAATGCCATTTCAGTCTTGAATTGGAAGATTTAATGCAGATGAAAAAATCAATTTATGGTACAGGTTGGAGCTCAAAAGCACCTGCAAACTTTTCAGGGAACATTCACCGATGTCCAAAGTTCCATCACATAAGCAATATCTTTATGTAAGTGCAGAACAGGAGTCATCAAGGCTAGCAATAGTGGGAACTCCTATACTTGGGAGTTGCCTACAAGGATGAATTTAAAACTTATGAATGTTAAACAACTGTTACTTGGTACAAGCAGGTTAGCTATAACTTGCTTCAGTTTCCTGGGCATACAGCCAGCGCTTTTCCCTCAGGTCCATGTTACAAGCCCAGAGTTTCCAGAAATCTTTTACTACAGACATAAGGAGAATAATTTTCACTGCAATTCTAAATTGATTCTAGGTAAGATGTCTCAGGTTTTAGCAAGCACAGTTAAACTGCTCATTGATTTTTCTGTAATCATAAATTCTTTTGAAAGCCGTACCTTCACTACAAATCCATGACAAGTTTCAGGGAGCAGGGGGGTGAAGGGAAATACACTAAATCACCTATAGTACCGCAGCTGTATTTAGTACTGTGGATTAATATGTGCTGACAGGAGGATAAGTCTACTTGTATATTGGCAAGCTGACTTCACAAGCCGGTACATCCACTCAGTATTTTAAATTCTAAGCTATAAAAAAAATACAGGGCAAATAGAACAATATCAGAAAACAAAGCTTAATTTAAAAGTTAGTGTGGCAAGAAGTTAGAAGAACTTGACAGGTTACCCTTAACTGCATCATTTTTATAGTGTTACTGTAAAACAAGGAAAGCAGAAAGAACTCACACAGAGTAAAAACAGCAGCTGGTTTTTTGTCCTTTGGATTCAGAGAGACATGTGGGGAGCTTTGCTAAAACTTGTAGATACACAAATCAGTTGCATGTATTTCAGATTACATATAGTGTTGTATCTTACTTAAAACAGACCACAAATTTTTTTAAAGTGAACTTAAAACTGTTTTTACTAATAGAGGTACTTCTCTTCCTAGGCAGTTAATATAAGCAGTAGATTTCTGCTAACTGGAAGTTTAGGATTCAGATGAAATACATACATACAAATTTGTAAGAATTTGGTTAGTGATATAAAATATGCATCATTCTCCAGTTATTCAGCACATAGATCATTTAGCATTTGCTAAAGCGCTTGCTTTTGTCAAGATGTTTAAGTCTTCAAAACGAAACACATTTACCAAGATTTGCATTTTAACTTATTTTGGCTACTGCATTTTGTAGTAAGATGTACTAAATAATTTTATTTTTCCACTTCGGTGCTCTGAGGCCATTTATTAACAACAGATCCTATAATCTGATATATGGCTTTGTAGCACACACACATGCATGGCAATACAATACAGGAAGCAGTAGGAAAAACTATGGTACACATTTCCCCCCCTTAGAAACATTTGCACAGGGCATTAAAGAGGAGGTGCATTAACATCACATCACACCACACTGCATTGACACAAAAACATTGTTAAGCCATCCTTCACTGAATTCGGTAGTTATAAATCCCAGTAATGTTTATGGTCACATTACTAGGAATAAACTAAGTTTCTCACAGGCCAAGCAAACCATATTGCAGAGTGACATCTGTTTCCCATCCTGATTTGCTATTTATACAGCAGACAAGGACCCGAACACCCGAGAGAATTTGAAATAGATCTAAAGGGAATGAGACTGATCTTCCTATTGCTCTCAGCCAGAACACATTTGACCTCAGTTTTCCACATGTAAAGTGTTCATTTATACAGCTGCTACATGTTGCACCCCTCCATCCTGTGCTTCTCAGTAGGTATTTTATCTCTTTACCAGCGTTGAAAGTTTTTAATCACTGGATCTAGATCCAGCCTTCGTGGATGAAGTTTCCCTGCATATTTATTATGTGCTGCTGTAGCCACAGACTCAGTTTGTAGTTAGGTCAGTATATTTTATTTACATAATAAAACAAAGATGTAGAAGAGGAGAAATAAGGCATTTCTGCTAGGACTAAGACAAAGATGAATATCTGCTTCCTACAGAAAGGAGTGACTCATGGGATCCAATTGAAGTCTAGCTATTAATTTTTAATTATTTTTTAATGGGAGGAAAAAAACCCCACATTTCAGAATAACTTTTTCTCCGAGTACTTATCCTTTTAGCGCAAGGATTAGAAAGCAGAGAGCTGCAGCTTGAAATGGCCCACTCTAATCTAGATGTAGGCCATCACATTCCACAGGAGTCAGACATCACTAGGAAAGGTGCCTGTAAGCATGTGCTGAAGGACTGCATTGGCAAGATACATTTGCTCACATACTTTACGTATCAATGTAATAAGGTAACAGAAAGTTCCAGAGCAGCTCAGGTCTGATGTGGAGCTAGACACATTCTTGCTTTTCTGCAAGGTGTTGGCTTGGACCCTCAGAGCTGCATTCTGATCACAGGGTCTTCATCAGTCTTCAGATATTTTCCATTTACAGGCTGCTTGAGTGCCCAGTCATGGAGGAGGCTGTAGTCGTAGTGCTCCTCGTCCACTCGTTCTAGAAAGGCCAGTCCAGAAATGGCTTGCCATTCTCTGAGAGATGGGATACGAATTTCCTTTACATTTTCACTCCCTGGGACAAAGCCAAAGAACTTCCTTACATGCTGCATGGCATAGAGCCTGGAGTGCTGGTCTGTCGCCTCATCGAAGAGCTCCTGCTCATTATGGACATAGTTGCTCCAGTATCTGAAATGTAGAAAACTGAGCGGAGAGAAACAGCTTGCCAGGCAGTATGACAGGAAGACAGTGATGACTACCACAGCAATGAGAAGCCAACCAGCCACCTTACAAAGAAAAAGGAAAGAAAAAAAAAAAAAACTATTACAACTGAAAATACTCACAGTGGTAACTTCCAAGTATCAGAAAATGCTTAAGATTATCTTTACTTGCTTTTCCTAAATCATAAAGTTAACAAGGTATAAGCCTGGTAAGGGTCTCCTGACATCAAATCCAGCCCCTGTCTACTAGAGTTAGCTGTGCTGTATAATTTGTGAAGGGTCCACAGCTATTACTGGGAGAAGCAATGCAATTCCTAGCCTGCATTAGCTTATAGCCTATTTAAAGCCATTTTTCTCTGAAGTGAAAACTTAATGTTCACCCTGTTATTTATCCAGTATGTAAGCATTTACAACTGAGTCTGATCTAAACCCAAGATTTTAATTTGGTTAATTTGGAGCTCTCATGTCCTGGGCTCCATAGTCGCATTTCTTATGCTTGAATGAAGAAACTTCATACACTCCCTCTGTCTTGAACTTTCATTTGCCTTACTCAATAGTACTTTTCAAAATACTACACAAGGAAAAAGTGTGTTGTCCAGTAGAAAGTAACAAATGGGACAACCAGACATAGTCATTTATATACTTAAATTTCAGTTCCACTTACAGGCACAAAACAGGCTTCAAAACACAGAGATTTGGTACTCGAGGCAGAAGGTACTTGTCCTGTTTTAGGCCTCACCTCTTGCCTGCTGAATTACCTCTAGTTCTCACCATTAGATCTGCAGGCAATAGAAGCAACACGAGTTACTCACTTGTGACTGGTATCGGAGTAGGAGAATCACTTCATCTCTTGCCCGGGTCAGCTCCGGAGGAACTAACTGACTGCACGGAAACTCAGCCAATATCCTTCTGCGCTCATCAGCAGTGACGTTAGGATCAGCTCCATAATAATATTCAGAGACGTACTCACTCATGGCACAGACGTAGTACGAGCCGTTTATCAGGGTGACCGCTAGCCATGTTACTGGAGCAACCAGGGCTCTCCCAGTGATGCCGCACAAGACGAAGCAGACCAGTTTGCATTGCAGCAACCGATTTGGTGTAGTCTTTTCCTGAAGGGGAGACCTTTTGCCTGTAACCAGCCTCCAAGTCTGGTTATTCAGGGCATAACCAACTATCAGAAGGATCAGTGCAGGAACTCCTAAGAAAGCGAGCCCGTAGATAAGGTTCTGCCCAACGTGACAGGGACAGCTGAATGTAAAAAAAGAAAAAAGTTGCTGCCCACCAATTGTCAATATTGCAATTATAGCATTAGCAATAACAACCTCTTTGCCTTTTAGAAAAGTTAACCACTTTGGAAGGATAGTCATTTTAGGCCTTACTCTTCACCAGATGCTCTTGCTTAAAATCAAAACTAGCTTTTAATTGTATTTAAATAATATCAATAGCAGACTAGAACAGAATAAACTCCAACAGCTTAAAGAAAACCCCAAACCAACCCACAAATAAACCCCTCTGCCAGTCTTTCTCCTCCCACTAATTTTTGATTCTACTCCATGGCAGCTAAAAGCTTGTTTGCCAGCTTTAAATATACTTACAAACATCCAATCATGTGTTTTAATTGATTCAGTAATTTATCTCAGCAGTTCTGGAACACTGAGCTTTCAGGCAATTGTGAGCTCTGCCAGCGCCTTGCTAATTGTCTGAAACTAACAATAAATCCTACCTTTTGGCTGACATGCAATGCTATCAAGCTGATGATTACCCTGTCAGAGTTAATTGTTAAGCTGTTCCCTAATCAATGGTAATTGGCAGAAGCATGGTGTAGGACTAGAGAGAAAAAAAATAAAAAAGGAGAACTTTCAGCTTCAGAACTTCGTAAAAACCCAACCAAACAAAACCTTATCAAGTAGACTGATTATAAAAAAATGAAACATAAACAATTTAAAGTGCTTCATCATTAAAATAAAACCAGAAAAGGTTCTGTAAGTTGCACAACGCTTAGAAGCCAAATTAATTTTAAGTAATTAACTAAACCTCAGTTTTGATTCTGAGGCAATTTGCTCTCCAAACACTGATGTCCAAGATACTGTTAGCTGCTGAGCCATGAGCATTTTAACGTTCCACCTGCAGGTGGCAAGAAGCTAGCATGTCTCTGTTCTTGACAGTTCAATGTTCCCTCTGTAAGGTGGTTTTTTTGGTAACGTGTAATCTACTATTCACAGAGTGTCAAGCCGGCTTCAGACATGCTCATGATAATAGCTGGCATTTATATAACATACCTGTGATCCAAAGTTTTAAGATTTTTCTCTATGTGTTGCCAATCCCATTCTGTGGACAGAGATGGATACAAATTTTTCAGTTAAACATTTCCAGAACTAGATTCTAAATATTGGGATGTATGATATGGACTCTCCGCATCTCTCACAAATCAATCCTTAAACAGAGATTAATTTAAAATGTTTCAGTCTTTGTGATTTTCTCCATGTTACACTTTGTCTATGGTCATCCTGTCCAGTACTTTTGTACACTGCATTCCTAGGCTGATCTCAATATGAAAACATTTGTGTTTAAGTTCTGAGAGCTCTAATTACCTATTATATAAATGTTTTCTCCAAGAGTAAAAAAATTAGTCTGTGAGGAAAATTGTCTTTCCATTGCAGGTGGCTATCTTCAGCATGTGTGGACTTGGTCACAGTATATAATAGTATCTAACTGCACAGCCTCTTCTCTCCTCTTGCAGAGAGGGTTGAAAATAATAACTTCCATCTCAAAAAGTAGTTTTAGCGCCCGTGGCATCTGCTTGGGTGGCGAAGACGCTCCCATGAGTGTTGTACACATGGGTGGCATGTTACGCACACCATGTCTGTGTCCGAGGCAAGACCTCGTCCTCCAGCGTGTTGTTAGTGTCGACACCTGCTTGTCTCATCCCTATTCATCAATCTGTGAACAAGGTCCCTGTTGGTAACTGGCTCTCAAAGGTATGTGACAGCATTGCAGAAAACTAAAAGAAATAGAGAAATATGCTGAAACATCCAGCAGCACTTTGCCACAGCTTCTTGGGTATCCATTGTAAAATTCTTGATGGTTTGGGCAGAGAAATAGCCCAACAAAATCCCAGTGCTGCCTGAATACTGCCATTTTGAAACTTCATTTTCTTTCAGTGTCACGGGATTTTCAATACCTTTTTTTCTACTAGTGCCATTATATTTTGAAATAATTTACCTCCTTTGAATTCACTGGAATAAACCCATTAGGCCATTACAGATTTTGAAGATGTGTTTTATGAAAGTCTTCCATTATACGTCACATCTTTTTAAAACTCCAGCTGATTGCTGCTGAGCTTTCTTTGGGAGCTCATGTCTTAATTTGTTTATAAGGGAGGCAGGCTTTCCCAAGCATCATTTGTTTACTCAGGAAACACATTAGATGTGAAACTGAAGAGATGTGCAACACTGAAATATTCATAGTCTGCCTAAGGCTATTGAATGAGGCAATTTATACGATCAATACAATAACTTTGTACGGCTGCATTGTCACTTCTTTGGCATTTGCTTTCAAGCTGTGCTGTAAATAATCCTGCTGGGTCATCCTATTATGGAACAAATTACAGACTTGGATCCAATTAAGAGCTTGGGCGCCTCTTCAAACCTTTAAGTACTCGCCTTTGCAGAGGAACCCAGAGTCCCGAGGCAGACATTTAAACTCTTTATCTGATGCCCAGGAAGAGTTAGAACTGAATGCGATCCAAAATACTGCTACCTGAGATGATAGCCAGCTTGCCTCTGAGGCAAAGAGATGCTTATTGCTCATGTCTGAGGCAAACAGGATGCTTGGGCAGACCTTAGCCATAGTTTTGTATGTCATTTTGAAGGGCTGTATCAGCATGAATTCACTGCCAGGGACCTCACTTATGAAAGTAAGTGGTTTTTTTAAAAAAAAACTAAGAATGATTTATCATTTTATTTTAAAACATGGTTATTGGAAGACATATTACACCTTCCCGTCCTCCTGTACACAAGCAAACAGATTTTATTCTTCTTTGCTTTTTATTGAAATAAAGTAGACAAGGCAGAAGGGAGAAATTGGTTTCAGTTCCCATCTCCATCAGATCTAGTCAAAACTTGCTCACTCGTCTCTTTTGTTCAAGAGCTGTTATTATTAGTGATGTGATGTGACTGTGATGGGAAGAAGCTGTATTCTCCAGCTTTCCTTCCATAGTTCTACCAGTTGCACTTAGTTTCCCTGCAGAGAGGATTTTGATATACATTGGATCAGAAAAAGATTAGACTGAACCCTAGTCTCTCCAGTCCTCTGCAAGTGTTTGGTGTCTTTGGCCTGGTTAAGGGAGAAGTTCCTCTCCCCTTAACCAGGATGAGCACTGATGAGAAAATCTTCAGTAATCTTTTTGTTAAAGGAAGAATAGGAACTTGTTAATGATTTTTTTTTAACTTGCTATTGAGCTGGAGATGGAGAGCAAACAAAAGCCTGATCCCTCCCTTGCCTTTATAGGCAAATTTATGTGAGATTTTTGGTGCTTGCAGTGTGTTTCAGCAGAAAGTAGGTGCCCAAATTGAAAAACACCCTCTTGAAAGCAGTTCCTGAGATGCCTAACCTAATCAAGGAAGTTTCAGCAGGTCATGCTGAAAACTCTTGCGAGGCAGGGCACTACAGACAAGGTGGCAGCAAGGGCACTGCTTTATTCTGAAACATGGCCAAAGCAGCAGCCACACTGGGCTTTGAGTAAAAGCACTCACTTGTGATGTGGAAAACCTGTGTTCAAGTACTTGCTTTTCATGTAGTGTCAAACTGCCATCATCTACGTTCTTGTGATTTGAAAGAATTGAATTTCCTAGGAGTGAAATACATAACACAAGATCTATTCAGCTGGAGACGGAGAGCAAACAGAAGCCTGATCCGGTGTTGTACTATTTTGGATAACCATCTTTCATGGCAAGTGTATTCTTGGTTTAGCTCAAAGCTTTTTAAGGGTTTTTGAGAAGTTTGACACCTATCTCATTATTGACCTTTATGTTTCACTCTGCTGTTGGATAGTAATTTTTGAGAGAATCCTTAGATGCTGGACTGCTAAAGAGATCATGAGCTTATCTCTATAGGTTTCAGCTTTCCCATAATAGCCAGTCCACTATAAGAGACAGGGTGCTGGTGCTCACTTTTATGCATGCTTTTGAACTTCAGGTGCATTTTGTGTATTTATTTTTTGTTTTCAGTTTAATGGGAATGGAAAGAACTGGTGTAGTCTAATGCTCAAGCAATGTGCCAAACCAGCCTTCCTGGGGCAAAAGGCTAAAGTTCTCTCCTGGCAAACATGACAGAAAGGAAGGTAGAGGGTAACGCTAACTTCCTCACTATTCATATTGCCTTGGTTATTTCTGAGAAGTCTATGTTAGGATTTAAACCAGGTGCCAGATATGTGCCAACCTCTACTCTTTTCTCAGGGCTGCAAGTGAGACAACAGTTAAAATTAAGAAGGTGGTTTTATTCTGTTCCTGAAGATGTGACTGCAGTCCACCATTGACTTGTTTCCCTCCTTGGAGCCACTGAATCCCCAGTTTATTTGGACACACCATGTCAGCTTCATTTTCTCAATCATGTGCAAACCTTTCAAAATGTCGTACGTGGTACCTAACACATCATATAATGCGTGTGAATTGTATGTGTGCAATATGTATTTTCCAAACAATGCTGATGTGCTCTTACTGCGTCTTGCACTCTCTGATCCACAGTGTTACTTCATGATTGTAATATTAATAATGCATTCTGAATAAATTAATCCTTATAGTCAGAACTGGATAAATAAAACGGTGAAGATTTATGAGTAGCCTTAAGTGCTTTGTGATGGCTTCACTGCAGTTAACTTATGCTAATGATAATCTTTTAAAGCTGTTTTTTGAAATGCAATGCAGTACACTTTCTTATGGAATATGAGATGTCTCTTGCAATGAAAAATGTATTTGGTGTTTGTTACCACTTGGAGACAATCTGAGAAACAAACCCATCTCAAACGCAATTTAGAAATGCAAGTAACTATCTAGAGAATTGTAATGCCCAGCTTTTATAATTTATTTAAATTTAGATATGGGAAGTACCTGCAACAGTTTCACTTATAAAATGGAGTTAGAATTTACAGGACCAGAAAAGTACCTAGAAAAAAATGAAGGATGCTTATTATATTGTAAAGTTGTCAATACCAGATCGTGTGTAGAATGAAAGCTGTTCAGGATGACTATCTCAGATGAATCACATCTCTTGCTTTCTGTGTATCTGGAGTAGTAAATACCTGTAATTTTACTCTAGAACTGAATCTATTAATTGAAATGTAGTAATGGCAGAGCATTCAGATGAGGCAATGTATTTTTACTTGCTTCAGGAAGAGAGGACTCAGTGGGAAATATGTGGAGATAAGCCCTATAAGGAAAGACAGCTTCCTGATTCATTCCTAAATTCACTAGTGACCATAGTCTAAATTTATTGCAAATCAAAACTAACAGAATAGGCCCAATTTACTTCAGAGGAAAACAGAAAAAAGTAAGGTAAACCTGCCCGTAAGTTCATAGCAGGGGTTATGTTACAAATGAGGGTTGTAATAGGTTGAGAATTATATAAGATCCCATATAAACATCATTAAAGAAAGTACCATTTGCACAAGCTGGCAGCTGTAGCAGGGACACATGTTATTCCTCTGGGAATCTGGATGCTCTAAATCTATCCTGCCAGCTTTGCAGAAGCCTAGTGGTAGTAGTGCCTTGTAACAAATAACTGCTCCTGCCTAGGCAGACATTAACTCACCAGACTAAAGTAATTAGAGCTGACAGAAGACTTTCCTTTGAATTGGAAATGATCAATTTCAATTACCTTGCACAGCAGTACCTTGCAGTTGTATTTTTATTCTTCAGAGAGGGAGCTTTTGTTAACACTCCAGACACCAAAACGTGATACAAAAAGTAGAATGAATTTGCTGTCCCTAAAATTGTAAGACCTATGAATCTCTTGCCTGGTTTGACTTTGATGGCTCTTTGCTGTCTATCTGATTACAGATCATTCTATGGATGAAGCACTTGTTTATGCTGCATACAGGGGCAGATCTGTTGCCAGTCAAATGCCTCCCAAAGGGCTTGGTACACGTAGAGAATAGGAGGAGCATCGGCAGCATTACAGATTGCAGCAAGCACATCTCATGCAAAAGGCAGAAGAGCAGAAAGGAGAAAACTTTAGGGAAGGGAAATACAGTCGTTGAGAGAAAACTATGCTGCTTGAGGAAGAAAAGACATAAACTGACAACCAAGTACATCAGGTGTTAACAAAAGCAACATGTCTCGGCCACCAGGAAGAAAGCAGGAGAACCACAAAATAGTAAGGCTTTTTTTTGTAATGTGTGGTTAAAACTGTGCATGGCATAAGAATAAGCTATTATTGTACTGATGTATGTTATACTGTCATATGTCCGAATAGCCTAAAAGTTCTGAGAGGATGGAGATGAGTCTGCCAGCATGAGAACAGAGGCACTGCCAGCAGTTATGGCTACAGTGGGACCCCTTTATGAGCTGCCAACAAGCAGCCAGCTATTAAGCAGTGACATAAAAAAGCCTGCCCATAGGACTTGGGGTCTGTTTGAACAGTAATGCTGAGATTTGCTCTAGAAGCTTTGATATCTCTCCAGCTAAGATGTGAAATGTTTTTCAGACAGTTCTACCCTCAACACGAATCCTTGATGTCAAATCTCTGTTCTTGTTTTGGAGAAAAGAAGCTGCACTAGCCACATCTTTACTCCATGAACAATTCATCTGGGACCGCAGCATACCTGGTACCCACTGTCTGCCACCTACATAGCAGACCACATCTTCTTTTGAGAGTTATGTTTCATGAACAGGCGTCCAAAATCTGATTCTTGAGGAAACAATGGTATCAAGGGTTAGGACACAATGGTGCCTAGTGTTAGGTGTCCAGCTGTCTATCTTGCCCAAACTTCCAGAGGCATCTGTCACTGTGGGGCTGATGAGGATTGACAACCAATAGGTGCCAACTGCTACTGAGACAGTGCATCAAAAACAATATCAAACCCAACTCCCCTCATCAGTAGCAATCACAACTGGTAATGGTGAAAAATCACATGCACAGTGGGAAGGAGGAATCTGATATGGAAGATGGATTGAGGAACTCAGGATTGGGATTGAGGGCAAAAGAATGGACGGACTCCTCCTCGGATGCCAGCCATTGAAGAAGAGGAAGAGAGCTTAAACCCTGTGATCCCTCAGATTTATGCTGAATTTGACATATATAGAATGAAATAATTTGGGTTGCATCTCCTGTCCGTTACTCTCTGCAGGTGTGAGCTTTTACCGCCTTGTGACCCTTTTACTTCCTGGCACCCCCAATGTGGCACACAAGATTTAGCAGTGACCTTGGTTACTCTAGAAGCAAGTATAAGCAAGAGCCTTTCTGCATACCAATCCTTGGTAGTAACTATAAACATCAGGTGTTATCACTTCTAGTAGCAGACGCTGTCTGCAGAAACGTCCTGTTAACTTCAGAAAGTGCAGCCTCTTTGATGAGGCTGAGCTGAACAGTAAAATCGCTGAACAGTATTGCTTCTGTTTAAAGCTCGAACCAAGATAAATGATAAAATTGTAACCATCGTCTCTTTGAATTTTGGCTTTGACCATTGATCATAACACAAAATTCTATAAGGTAGAAGTTATGCAGATCAAAACTTCCTTCTTTTTTCTTCATTTCATGTTATTCTTCTTCTAAACCTTCAGCAGTTGTTTTAAATATACTGTAGGCAAGATTTTCCCAGGAGGCCTTTTTAAACTGCATGGTCACAAAAAGCAGTATTTTGTGCTATTAAAAATACTGATTACTCTCCTTCTTGTTCTCTGGCAGTGTTGTGTCTAAATTGGAAAATTTCAGATAGTAAGTTTTCTCAGAATCGCTATCTGTGGTTAAATGTTTCTGTTTAGGATTATTTTACCACAAGTCCAAAAGACCAAAGTGCCTAATATGGAAATAAGGGGAGAGTGGTTTTAAAAAAACATATAATAGTATTGTGTCTTGAAGAGAGTGTGTTTGCATCTGAAAGTATAATTATGACACATCTATCTGTGTATGCATATGTATAACAAACTGAACAGAGGTAGGGAAAAGAGAAGGTAGACAACTGTAGAACATCGGTAACAAAGTAGCTGTGTTGTTCACTGGGCACTTAACTGCTTGTTTTTACTTTATCCCTAATGCTGAGATTCTGAACAGACTCTAGGAGAGGTGGGCACAAACTTTCTGAGACACAGATCTGTTCAGAAACAGAGAGACAAGTGCTTAGGGAGATTTATGGTCAAAGATAGGGATGCCAGGGAAGTTCATGTGCCTCTGTGGTTAAATAGTCATTAGCTGGAACACATGGAGAGAGATATCTCTGTTCTTTCTTTGGATGGTTCAATTCCACAGAAGTCTTTCTTCAAGAGCTTGGAGCCTTAGGACTGTCTGCACACATTTATGGGAAAAAATACTCCAACTGATTGCAAGAATGTCTGATAAATACAATTATGTTGATATAGTATGCGTAAGTTTCTCTAAGGTATTTATCCTATTATAATACAGACTTTTTACTGAGATTAGAACAGTGCAGAATCTGTATGACATCCATTTACTCCATTAAAAACTTGTTAACAAGAACTTTGCAAAGTGTGCAATATTATTGTAAACAGGAGATATCACCAAGGCAACTTTAAGAAATCGTTCCATACTACTTAAGATTTTGAACAGTGACTTGTTAAAATTGAAATGTTGATTAGGCTCCAAGCTTTTGATGCAATGAGAGCAGGAAGAGGTCTTTCCACCAAGCTATTCTCCCTTTCTTTGTGTGATTTGTTCTGTTGTTTTCATTGGTATTGACTGTTATTGTTCCACAAGTTATTAGCACCTCCAGTTTGCCCACATGCCACAGGCCTATAGCAGTGGAACAGGCTAGACTTTGAGGTTGTGGAGGCTCCTTCCTGAAGAATTTCAAAACCCACCTGGACATGTTCTTGTGTGGCCTGCCTTAGGGGATCCTGCTCTGGCAAGGAGGTTGGACTAGATGATCTTTCAAGGTCCCTTCCAACTCCTAATGCT